TCCAGCACCAGGAGTGACCAACGAGGCAGTCAACATCTGTCAAGCAGTCAAGAAATATTGTGTCAAAGAGTGTCATAAGACGGCGAGCCGAAGAAGACAGCCTGAATAATGTTAACAGGCCCACAGTGAACAGCTTGACCGGAGTACGTGTGAAAATGACATCATTCAGGCATGCTGTGTGTGTGAATCTTATTGTTGGTTTAATTAATTTCCTGTATTCCATGTTTCCATACATACATTTCCCCCACAGTGTTTTATTATAGTATGTGCCTCACCTTGCCTGAAATAAAGAACTCTGTTAACATCAGAAGAAACTGTTACATTTGTATTAAATATTTTATACTGATTAGGCTTCAGGGTAGGGCTGCGCAATTCATCCAAATATTATCAGAATCACAATATGGCCAAGTGCAATATCCAAATCGCAGAAGCTGCAATTTTTTCATAAAAGGTAAATGTGACAAAACAGCATTATAATAAAGTACTGTAGTGCTGCAGAGATCTTCTCACCTACAGAGCTTGTTCTCCAGTGATGTGATAAAACATGTGGGGGAGGGTTTCAGTGAAAGGGAAAACTGTGATGCAAAAATGATAATTCCCACACATGAATCAAGAATCACAAAATAAAATCCATCAAAATAATCACAATATGATTTTTTTTTTCGGGGAACAAACAGCAGATAGATCATCGTACATTTACTGCACAATAATGAATCAAACTTTATCCAGGAGGAAGTTAGTTTGATAATCACCAGCTGGACGCTCATGTTTTACAGGCTAAAGTTGGTTTTAATTTCATATTGACCAGCTGGACTTTGTATTGCCACTGTGATCAGTTGGGGTGGGGAGGGCACATGCATCCTAACTTGCTTTAATCAAACTGTTTATCCAGAATCCTCCGTTTTAAAAGGGGCTAGTTATATGATCAGAGCGGTGTTATTTTCGGCAGTGTGTATTAATGAGCTGTGTGTCCCCTGCTATACATAACACTGAAATGTCTACTGTGACTGATTTGCACTACTTGATATTGTCATTTGACTTTGAGCGGAGTCTGCTTCTGACCTTTGTATCGACTACACAGCCAAAGTTGTATTATTATTCCCGATGAGTCGAGCTGCAGGCTTTGATCAGCATCTCAATTTTATTCTGTGAATATCACACAGCTTTTCAAGTCTGCCATTAATCACAAGCAGCTTGTTTGGACTCTCTTTGAAGAAATGCTTGTTCTTTTGACACACCATGTTCCTTTTTAAAAACCTATGTGACAATGGTGTCATGCTGACAGTCACAAGACGTATTTAGTGGAATTTGCGCCCTTCACCTGCCTCATGACTTCCTGACCTTTTTTCCTCTCTGTCTGTCAGCATACCGCCCCTGCAATCCAACTCCTCATCTATCCATCTGGGCTTTTTTTCTAGGTTTCTTATCTGTAAGGAAGTTGCAGTATAGACTACAGACGCTCTCATCCTGTCTGTCACCTGCAGGGCCAGGAAAACTATTGGCTCTTATCTTGTATCTCTCAGCTGTTGCCACGGTGAGTGGGTTTCCAGTGCCAACCAACAGCTTTATCTCTGACCTGCAGAGGAAAACCTGGGAGACCCTATCTCATGCATACACACACGATAGGACACCTGCACAAAACACATGCAAAAATACGACCCCCTGCTAGACATCGTACCCCACACACACACACACACACACACACACCCACACACAACACACAACACACACACCAGCGGGTAAATTGTGCTGTTTTTTATTTCTGGCACAAGCAGGTGCAGCTGTGCAAAGGTGTACATATGCACACATGTATGTAAATCTTGTCAATACATGTGCAAAGGTGAGACACACACACACACACACACACACACACTCTCACACACTCACACAGACTCCCAGCAAGCAGAAATTGTGACGATGACAAGTGGTTCAGCTCTAAAGACTGAGATAGGACCAGAATATTCTTTATCACTTGACGGTGCACGGCTTAATTTTAGGGACAGTTTTTTATAGTCTAGCCTGAAAGATTTAACAGCCGACTCTGTCGCTGCATTTACTCTCACACGGAGTTAACTCCACTGAAAAAAAATAAAAAGGACATTACACAAAAATACTGAAAGAAACTATATGTCGACTTTTTAAATCTTTTTCAGCTAAATCTCAGTTCTATACAGAGAAAAGGTAAAATAAATGGCATTTAATGTCAAACACGATAAACACTACGGTGGCTAAAAGTAAGTGCTGGAATTGAAATGAGGAATAAAACTTTTGCGAGTGAAAATGCAGCTCAGTAGAGCTAAGCAAATTTGCATTTAATCAATTTGAAAAAAGGTTTTAATGCAAAGTTAGTTGCCGAGACGTCGTATCCACACACACACACACACACACTCCAAGAACTCATCACTCCAACGACATTTCATTGTGCAATCCATCTTAATCAGCTAGCCCATCAGAGACAATATATCCTCCCCTCCATCTCTCTCCTTCTCCGGACGGAGTGATTGAGGGGTGTAAAGAGGAGGATGTTTCTGCCCGTCGTCTCCTCCTCCCATAGCCCCCCCCCCAGGACGGCTCTTAAGTGCTTGTGGGTTTTTATGTTTGTAGTGTTTTATAGGAGTGGGCAGGAGCCAGAGGCTGTAAAAGTGTGGAAGGAAGGGGGGGTGGTGGGAGGAGGAAGGAGGAAGGAGGAGGAGAAGGAGGAGTGGAGAGTTACTGTAAATCCAATCTTTATTGAGAGCGACACAAACAACAAACAGTGCCCGCCCAGCCTCCCTGCAACGCCCTGTTTACCTGATCAATCAGCGCTGACTGAGGGAAGGAGAGAGAGAAAGAAGGAAGGAAGGAAGGAAGGAAGGAAGGAGGAAGCAGGATGGAGCAGCATATTACTTTGTTTTACCTGTTAACTCACAGGTCTCCACTGCTTCTGTGTCTGCCTGTATCCACGCACACAAGTGTGTCTCCTAATACATGTGTTTGTTTTTGTGTGTCACTGCGCAGTTAATTGCTAACCACCAGCCAGGCCTGGAAGCCCCCCTCCCAGCCTGCCGATCAGTCTGCCACTATAGCGTAAAGCTGGCTTCAGCTGAATGTTTGCTGGGTTCGGGGCTAAATTATTCTTCAAGGCCTTTCAGAAGAGCCAGAAAAAAAACACCCACAACACTCCCCTCCACATGTCAAAATCCACAGGCACTGTTTTGGCTGCTTTCTAATGCTGATGCTTTGCTGTTAGATCTGCAACGGGAGAACCATTTTGCCAGCAATTTTCCAAATGAGCGTAACTAACTGTCTGTTTTTGTAATTGTTCTCTTGTCCCTCGATTTCCACTCGCTGCTCTCTTTTATTTTAACCTCACATCTCTTTAAGTGCGACTGACATCACTCAGAGCCTCTTAGTCAATCAGTTAGTCATCGAATGAAAAGGTCAGCCGCTTAGTCAACAAAATGACCACAGAGGAGGTCAGCTGGCCAGCCAATCAGTCAGATCGAAAAGGATGATCGGACTCTGCTGCCCAAAACCCCTTCGTGAGTAGCCTGTACCTGCTTGTTGCCATGGTAATGCAGTCCGAGACCTAAATGCTAGCCTGTGTCCCCTCCCTGCCTCTCTTTTATCCTCTTCTTTTCACTCCTCCAGACTCTCCCCTCGCTTTTCTGTCAGTCTGTGTGCTGATTCTCTCTCACGCTCTGTCTCTCAGTCATGTTTCCTCTGGCACTGTTGTGTTTTTCAGTCTGCCTCCCTCACCTTGCCTCGTCCTCTCTGCTAAATGACACTTTACTAGCTGTTTCCTCTTGTTAATTCCACGCCACTTTGCATCGTGCGACTCTGTAAAACACTTGTAAAACACGCAAAGTCGCCTCTACAGGCACACAGAGACAAATTACAATTACTTACTGTATACACACATAATTACTTTAACATTTGCAGGCAGATGCATGCATGAATGCTTGCGAGGACACACAAACACTAGCAATAATGGCATAAATGAGAGTCAACGATCAACATATTCACTGTATGCTGGCACAGCTTACACCTGCTGACAGTCAGCTGCCAATGAAGATCTATCATTTTCTGCTAAAGCCTCATCATCAAGCATCATTTAGGCATGCTGGCCTGCCTCACTCTCCCCTGATGCACCGTCTGTGCCAAGATAACGATTAAATTTCCCCCAAATGCCCAAACAGCCTTGTGGGAAAAGGTCTTCAGTAAATGAACTGGCTTTGGGCTCCATCTAATGGTCACTAGAAAGACTTTAATCCCACTTGTATGTGCTGGAAAACAACAACTGGTGTCTTTACTGTCACCGACAGATGATTATTCATAGCTTTGATCGTATTCTACCTTCACAAAACACCAGCTATCCCTACTGTCGATTTAATCTAAGGAGTTGGTATTTTTAAAGGTCACCTCAGTTTAACTCTGGTTATTTTACATTCAATTCAATTTCAAAGCAGTCTGCCCATAATCCGTTCAGTACTGAGACTCTACATAAACGCGAGCTCCGCTTTCAGCTTTCTTTGCCTCCTTTTGAAGTTTCCAGGGAAACAGTCAACATCCTTCTGATCCTAAACCCTTTTGTTGCGTTGTGTTACATTCACATGTAGTGTATGTTCTTTAAAGAAAACCTCACAGTACAAACGTGTGTAACCATATAAAAGCCCATAGCTGTCCCTCCCACACACTGAGAAAACATACCCATAATCACAGCACAAGCCGCCCTCACAGGTGTTGTTGTGATAAATGTATGTACAATATATGCACATTGATGCACAAACAGACTGGGGGCCGCACTTAGTTTAGCACCCAGTTTTTTTTTTAATCCATAATCCTTTTTCATATTTTCCTTCTGTTTGGCTTTCTTCTTAATTTTGTTCTTGTTTTTTTATTCCCCCTTTTATTTATTTTGTTGCAAATAGAAAAAAATTAAATGACATAAAATGACGTTTTATCTATTTTTTCATTTTATTTGATCACGTGTGAAAATAGATCATTGGTGACCCTATTGGACAACTAACCTACACATTGATCCAACTTACACACACATACCTGCATTGACAATAGCGTCTATCTCCAGCTTGGTGATGTCCCCACTGTAGAGAGAAATCTTCTGGTCTAATTTTTCATTCCTCTGGTAGAGAGGTTTCTCAGAACATCCTGATAATGAGACACATATGCAGCACATTCAGTCTCAGGATCAGTTTTGTTTACCAAAATTCATGTCTTGATAGTTTGTTCTTGGTTTACTGGTCTGCGGTGTTAAAACTGACATGTTAGGTAAATATGGTGAAATTGAGCCAGACTAACAATATTTCAAAATTACTTTCTTTGCAGCAGTTTGGATTTTAATACGATGATACTTCTGACATACTGCGCATTGCTGCTGTAATCTATTATAATCTACAGTGAAAAGACTACGCTGCGTATACCAACCTAGTCAACTCTGGACATACATTTTAAATATATTTCAACGTCCAATATGTAGATTCATTAAAATCTAGTTAACTGGCCTTCTTTACTCACTGTTTTCACAAGGCTGCATACTAAACTTAAATAATTGTATTTAAGCAGCAACGTTTCAGTCTTTTTTTCAATGAAAATGATGTTCACCAGCACTACTGGCTGCAGTAAGTATGACATTATTTCATAACTGATTACAGTGTAGCACACTAAACTATGTACTAACATACGTAACATTCAGGTAACACAGGTTTAAACTTGGGGTTACCAGACAAACACAAACTAAGATATACTGTACCTAGTCAATGTATTTGAGCCCTCTTCTAGGTGTAAAAAGAGAAAAAATTGAATTGTTTGCAGGGCAAATGGTTTCCATATAGGTTAGAAACAAGCAAACAAAATAAAGACAGTTGGAAGCACTTTGCTATTAAGACTTCTAATATGTGATAATAATCTAATTCAGTATGTTCCTTTTTTAGCTTTGTGTGTACGTCCTTGTAAGCATTAGAAGTGTATATTGTGTATGAATACAATACATTTGGCACACAGGGTGTTTTCAACTCTCTTTATGTTTCTCATAATTTGTAAATACTCTTAGTATGCCATTTCATTTAATGTGATGTGTATTGATGTGTATTGTCATATAATATCTGATAGCATTAGTGAAAGTATTCATATCTTTTCATCCCTCCCAGAAAGCCTCACCACCACTACCACCCACCCTGAATGAACCTGACAGTGACGTTGATTGATGTTGGGTGTCTGACCTGCGGTGGGGGTCCACACTGGGATCTTATCCAGTGGCACAGAGCTGGAGGTCTTGTAGTACTGCCGCCTGTCTTTCACAGACAGAGACAGCAAGAAGTCTGCAAGAGACAACGGAGAAAGAGGACAGCCAGTAAATAATCTGTTATCTAGATATATCTATTTAAAATATTTATTTATATTAGAAAACAGAGAAACATTGCTGCTTTTGGCATAACAGACTGAAGAAAAGCTCCTGATTAACCTAATCTGAGGTGTTGTTGGGGGTAAACCCAAGTAAACTCTTTCTTTGAAATGAGCCTGAGAGTTTATTCATCAATTCTTGCATTAACTGTAACAATCAATGAGGGAAACTAGATGGGTAAACAACACTTTGTTTACCACTAACTCTGTATTTACCACTACACCCCTGAACCTAACGAACCATAAAAATCCTACAGAAATCTAAAGTGTGTAGTGTACTGAGATTATTGTGCAATGAGAGTATTTAACGATCCTTTGTGCTCAAGTTTGTTCAAGGGCTGATTCACTTTTTGAAGATATATCAATCGATGATGATTTCTAATTTATTGCACAACTAATGTATTAAGTATAAACTCTAAATATGTGCTAGTCGCAGCTTCTCAATAATTTGTTGGCTTTTCTTCATTTTGTATTATCCTCAAAATAATGTTTATTGGTTTTCAAACAACTATAATTTCAAGACATCCCTTTAGGTTAGATTGGCTACATAAATTAAAATGGTAATAACTGGCCAAAATGTATCTATCTTTTTACATATTGTGTGTATATATTGTGAATTTATGGTGTACTAACTCTACTTTGACATTACAGAAGACAACGTAACTCAGATACAATATGTTTTGTATTTAGTAACTGCATTTCTCTGCACATTTTAAAAGCATTGTGTTGCTAGTATTAGTCTTGGGGAGCAGTGACATTAGCAGCCAGTGCAGCTCTGAGGCAGGGGCTGACAGCTGGACGGGTGTTATGGTTTTGTGACAGCAGACACGTTTCTCTTTGGTTTGTTGACAAAGCCCACTGCAGGGTAGCTGCTGTACCGTTACATTAAAACCCTGCCGGCCTTCAGTCTCACCCTTGGTCTCCTTCCAGTCTCCCTCAGCAGAGTTTAGGTTAACTTTCTGGGCCATGGCGGTGCAGCTCCCGGTGTGGAGATACTGGACCAACGCGAGTGTGCTCACTCCGAGGGCGGCACCGAGGGCGACCTTGCCCAACCAGCCTGCCCGGAGCCGGGGTGCGGCGGACCCGTCCCGCTGGCTGGACTTCCAAATAGCGGCTGTCGCTGTTGTTGAAAACTTCACAGCTCGCAGGGCAGCGTTAATATGGCCGCGGAGAGGACTTGTTGCTGGCTTCCCTCCAAACTGGGGGCTTCCAGAAGTTAAACTATGTCTGAACTTCACACCGGCTCCCTGGAAGTTAGCACAGACGCGGGACAGAGGGCCGGTGAACAGAGGGGCTCTGAGGTATGAGAGCAGAGCTGACATTTGCTTTTCCATGCCTGAATGACACCGACTGGACTATCGGTTCGTGTTACTACAGAGACTCAGGGATCAATGTCAGACACCACCGGGCTTCGGTTTCGTTTCAGATGCGTACACACACCTCTCTGTGTTCAACGCTCTCATGTGCCATTTTTGTTTTGGACGTTAACGTGTGGAATGTACCATTTTTTTTATGGGGGTGTCCGTTATCCGTCGCTAAACGACAAACTTTACCGACTGTCCGTGAGCGTTACTGTGGTGTCCAGTGCTGGTATTAAACGATTAATATTAGTACCAGTGAAAGGGATATGCTGCACATGTGACCAGCTGCTGCTCTATTTTCGACTGTACACCCCGACTAAGATGACATGGGGAAGCCGAAGCCAACGACAAGAGGCTTACGCCGCCTTCAGGACAATCGGAAATATCGGACTTAGAGGATGAGGCCGACGACCGACCAAACAAGCTCGTAAATGCAATAGTTGAAACAAGGAGAGTTAATAAAATATCAATCCTCTGTTGTGAACAGGAAGTCTTGTCTGGAATGAGTACAACCCTCCAAAAGCACTTCATACACTGTATTTGATTTCAAATATAACATGCAATCCAAAAAAAACCCTGATAGCAAGATGACCTCAGCAATATTTCAGTTTGACTAAAGGTTACCCCAATGAGAGAATGTATAAGAATGGCTATTCTGTTCATAGGTGTCACACTTTTGCCAACTACAAGGTATAGACAATTGTGGAATTACTAAATCTCATCAGATGTGGATCCATGTGACTACCTCCTCAAATAGATCTGCTACTAACTAAATGCCAGAAAACATGGTTGTAGTTCAAGGTAGGTTAGATTATTATTTGAAGGTAGAATTATTTTACCCAAATCAACCAGTGAGCTCATTCATCTGTGACAACATCAATATCATCTGGTCTTGTTCCATAGAGAGGAGTCTTATGTGTTTTTGTTATAACTGAACCGAATTATTATTACTATTATATAGTAGAGCATTAAACCTGCTTTCAGTCTTAGAAGGAAATTATCAAGTTATTGGTTCTTATAGCTAACCTTTGTCTATTCATTCTTTACCATTCTTTTTCTTTAAAGCACCAAAAGCACTAGTAAAAGTTAGGATCCATAACCCACACCCTAAAATTAATCATTGCTGATCTTGCATCACACAACATTAGATCACAAGGCAGTATATTGTATGTCTGCTTCTGCAAGAAAAGAGAGGAGAAAGACAAAGAGACAAAGGATTAATGTGTGCTTTCTGTCCATTTAATATCTCTCATAGTCTCCTACATGTGCTGCATGCACATTCACATTCACATGCACACACACACACACACATACATTGCATATGCATCACTCACAGCCTGTCAGTCAAAGCACATTTCCGCCTGGCGGAAACTGACGAGAAAAAAAAAAAGGAACAAGCCTATTTTGACAGAAGTGACACAAGCAGCGCAGACACAGCTACGCAGACCACAACCTGCCCAGCCCAAAGAGAGCCCGAAACTGCTGCATATTTTCTCAGAGAAAACCTGGGAAACTTCTTCAAAGGTCTGACAGAGGCACAGGAGTCCCCCAGTTCTCATTTCTCAAAACCTTGGACCGAGGAGACTAAAGGTATTTTTTGTCAAAATGTGTGTGTGTGTGTGTGTGTGTGTGTGTGTGTGTGACGGCGTGGGAGAAAGTGAGAAAGAATGGAGGATAGAGCGAGTTAGGGCAGGGTGTGTATGTATGTGTGAGGGGGTCATTTATAAGGTCACATCAATTGAATTGAACTTGAATTGAACTGAATTGAACTTGAATTAAATTGAATTGAACTTGAATTGAACTTAATTGGTCTGAACTGGTCACAAATGAACAAGGAGAAAAAGAAAGTTGAGGCCTCCAAAAGAGGTAAGGAGGGGTGCAGGCGTCTCATCTATTCATTGTTGTATACTTTTCTGTGATATTAGTCCTTGAAAGTACAGATACGTGGAGCAAAGACACACATTTTAATATCTTTTAAATAGGCTCACACTTTCATACACATGCAGGGGGTTGCTGTATTGGCATTGGATGAACATCTCACCTTGGGCGGGTCAGAAAGCGGAAGTGTGTTACCCTGGTGATAGTTCAAGTCAGAAGCAGGAAGTAGCCTATTAATCAAACTGGACATGTTGCCAGAATCAACTCACTCATCCAGTGTGTGTGTGGGTGTCTGTGTGTGTTACTGAGTATCATGTGATATCAAAACATGAGTGTTTTTTTCTCACAGTTGATTGGCTGACGTATGATTGACAGGTCATTGTCTGAAACAGGCTTTGTATTATCAAAACTGTCACAGTTCTGTTTTTTAAAATGTCATTTATTACAGTTACAGCATGTGTAACTCAACTTTTTGAAGCAGTTTTATCCTTCTTAAAATTAATTATAAATGTTTTACATTAATATGTAGATTAACTGAAATTGTCTTTCATATTTTAGGCATGTAATGTTCTGAAATGTGATGATCTTTAAATGTTTTCTAAAGGCATTTTAACAATTTATTAATGTATTAAAGTGCATAATTTCTCTGTTGTGACATATATAGGTCTCTAAATTATTAATCACTAAAACATTTTTCATGTCAGACTTTAGGGGACGGTATTGGCAGTTGAATCGAGGAAAAACAAAAGATAGACTAACCTCACTGAAGCGATTCATTATAATTCTTGTTCATCTCGGCCATGGCTGCTTTGTCTGAGCTGTCTCATATCTGTGCTGAACAAAAACACAAAAAATTAAATTTGTCACACATAATGGGTCATTTAAAGAGCATTTGTTGAGCAGCCTTTTGCAACAATTTGTCATCACTTTGACAATGTCACTAACACTTTTTCATACTTTCACTCTTTATGTGCCTGTCCTGCTTTCTTCTCCTTTTCTGCTCTCTGTCTACTCTGTCAGACTCGTCTCCTGCATTTCTCTCTCCCTCTCGCTCCCAGTATGGCGGTGTGGGATCTGTCAGTCACAGTGGAGGACCTGGGGTCTGATGCGCCTCCCGTGACCCTCAGTGTGGCCTCTGACCTTCACGTCGGAGGGGTCATCCTAAAGCTGGTGGAAAAGACACGTGGGTCACTGTTTGTCTGCCTCTGTTTGTCTCCGTCTTTGTCTCTGTCACAGTGCACAAACTAAAAATAGTTACATCATTTGGATGGACAGGCACATATAGTGTGAACTGCATTATTAAATCATCATAGGCCATGCACGGGTAATGCATTTTTTTAAAGCATGCATTTTGTAACCCTACTGTAAAGAGTTAGTGTAACATATATACTCCTCTGTTTGCTCTCATTTGAATTATTTCTAAGGGTACATTTATACCTTTTTATGCCAAACAATAACCAGAGCCATAACTCCAACCTGTGCCTTAACACCAACTTCTTTTTACCTACATTTTACAAACTATTAAACTCAACACTATTAAACTGAAATGTGCAAGATAAGATAATGCTTCATTTTCTAAATTAAATGCTGGTGTAGATTACTCAGTAAGATTGTCCATATATATTTAAAAGTGTTCATGGTTCAGAGATTTTCATACCTACGAATCCAAAAGCACTTGACAATGCATTTCAAGGAGACTGATTACCCATCTTGTGTTTTAATCAATAGTATTGTTTTCTAATTGCCAGTGCAGTAGAATCACTCAGCTGTCTAGTAATTCAGCCCCTGTCCAGTTGAGTGAGGGGACAATACTATTGATCCTGATATGACTTGAACACACAACCTTCTGATCTGAAGTCAGATCCATTACCTTTGTGCTACAGAATGTAACTGATGTTACCTGTTGGTCCTAATGTCAGTTGGTCCTGGCAAACAAACCAAACATTTGACTGGAAACGTCACTGATACCTACGTTGGAGAAGTCCAGCTCCATCAAAGGTGTCTTCCAACAACTCCAAATCCTCCACTTTCACACATATTCTGTATTTAACGATTGTAGAAGTAGAAACAGGAAATTATTGTTTAACAGGCAGCCAGACTACGGTTTGGGGGTAATGTTATTTACTAACCATCAACAGCTAGCAGAACATCAGCCCAGCAGAAGAGAAATGTGCCTCCCAGCAATGTATAACACATTGGCACATTTCTCTTCTTTATTATACTCTAGCTGCCTCCACACATATTTCTGCTCAGATGAAATGTATCAATCGTCCACCAAACTCCTGTTATAGTGAGAGATAGTGAACATGAAAATCCCCAAACTGTCAATGTAAAAGACTGTTATTAGGACCAGTAACTTTATTATTCAGTAACTACACAGAAAGGATATTGCACAGTTGCACACTGGTAAGTTGACTGTGAATAAGAAAAGCTGTTGACCCTGACAACATTGAAAATGAAAGAAACATTATTCTTCCACCACAAAAGTGTCTGTAAAATTGGAGAACAAACTGATAGTGTTATTATTAATTATTCATATTATTACAACCATTTCTATGTCCAGTGGTTCAAAAGCCACTTTTAAGTTCTTGAGGTGAATGTCTGGACTGTGAAAAGTTAAGAACTACAGTCTTCACACATCAGTGCATGAAATAATGGCTGTTAACTGTGTTATGTGTCCGTCCTCTGCAGAGATCAAGCGTGATTGGTCGGACCATGCACTGTGGTGGGAGCAGAAGCAGCAGTGGCTGCTGCGGACAGCCTGGACTCTGGAGAAATATGGTATCCACGCCGATGCCCGGCTGGTCTTCATGCCCCAACATAAGCCCCTAAAGCTGTGTCTGCCCAACGGCATTACCCTGAAGCTCCGAGCCTGCTTCTCCAATCCTGTCTTCCAGACTGTGATGGGTATCTGCAGAATGCTCAGTGAGTCTTTTTTTCTTTATGTTCCTTTATTCCTTCCTTCTTTCATTTCTTTGTTTCTGTTTTTTCATGTTTCTTGTTTCCATCTTTTGCTTCCTTCTTTAGTTTCTTTATTTCCTTTTAAATTTTTTGAGGCAAAGAAAAGGCCAGCGCGAGGCTCCGAATGAGGAAAAGTTCTTAATATTGAGGGTGCACATGGACCCCAGAGTTTGTGATTGTGCTTAAGGTCTGCCCTACAAGTGCACATTAGAAATTAAATAAGATAAGATAAGATATTCCTTTAATAGTCCCACAATTTGGGAAATTCCAAATTCTCAAATGGCCCCTTGTTTGGTGCACTGTATTTACCATCCTTATTCCTATTCTCATTTAGTGTTCGCGTTGAACACAGCATTTTTGCTAATTTTCAGCATAATGGCCAGTACAATCATTTGTGCTGTGTTGTGAATTGTGCACAGAAATGAACCGTTTTGGTCTTGTTCTCATTAAAAGGTCAAATGTAATGTATTTTGTGACCCTGACGTGATTTGAACACGCAACCTTCTGATCTGGAGTCAGACGCGCTAC